GAGATAGAGTTGGGAGGCAGGTAGCATGGGGACGATGGCCACAATGTCCCTTGGAAGGATACCAGAGGGCCCCTCCACATGCTGCTGCTGGGGTTGCCTGCTATCCTCTTCTGATGATTCCAGATTTGTCTTTTCCAAGGGGAATTTGGGATCCCCTCTTGCAGCTTACAACCAGGAGCACAGGAAAGCTGCCAGGGGCAGCAGGCCCAGTGAACCACTGTCACTGCTAGTGAAGGCTTCAGTGAGGGGGCCAGAGTAAGAGGTCCACACGGTGTGTGCGCCACAGTGCTGTGATGGGGAACACAGCCCCCCTACCTGGGTGCCAGCGAGAGGGCTGAAAATCCCAAATTCCTCCAGCCACAGTGTGCTGCCAGGTGGGATGTGGAGGCGTCACCCCCAGAAAAGCCCAAGCAGCCCCACAGTTCACTCCCACTGGCTCCATCCTCAGTGCCAGGCAGGCACAGGGAAGCTCACCACCCACTGTGGGCTGCTCCGAGCTGTCCATCTCTGGGACCTCATCGTAGTCTTCTTCATCCCCATACACACTGTCGTACTCAAGGTCATCGGTGCCAAGCATGACCTGCCTGTCCTGCCCTGGGAGACAGCACTGAGTGTGAGCAAACCTCACCTCTCCCTTCGTCCTGCTCCCCCCAGCCACAGCCCCTGCTCTGCGCACACACACACACACACACACACACACACACACACACTCACTCTCCTTGCCGCCCTCTTATTCTCCCTGCTCTTTAACTGAAGGCCCCTGGGACCAACAGCGTGGCCACTGATGGAGTATCCCTCAGTGTCTGCAAGTGGAGGGCAGGGACATGACAGTTCACACACACAGAGCAGGGGAAAAGGGGGACAGGAATAAGAGCACAGGGATGACACTCACCCTCTTCTTCTTCAGTGTGTGACAATGTGAGCACAGGGACGTCATGAGCGCTGCCAGCCGGGAATGGCTTCGTGGGGAGAAGCCCTGCAAGGCGCAAGCACACAGCACAGGCATCAAGGAGGAGGTGAGGGGGCCTGGGGTGCTCCACCCTGCATCGCAGGGGGAAAACACCCCTCGCAGGTGCAGAGCAGCTCAGAACTGCCTGAGCATGGCTGCAGCCTGCTGGGGTACATGACCAGGGATGGGGGACCCGGGAACACCCCCTCCTCTCTCTGCACCACAGACCAGGGCTGCTGGGGGCTCTCAAAAAAAAGCTACTGCCCAGTGACAGAGAACCCACTGGGAGCCCAGCAGGATGGGGATGGGGATGATGATGGGCATGGGAAGATCTTGTAGGTCCTCCAGGCTCTGCATCACCTGTTTGGCTGTGCTCCCTTTCCTGGCGGACGCTTCTTCCTCCTCCCTGGACAAAGTGGAGGCTGCTCCTGGCCTGAGCCCCCCAGCCTCCTTGGAAAGAAAACATCCACCTCATCCCAGCCCAGCCCTCACCCCTGTCCCTTCATCCCACCCTCCTCTCCAGCAGTCCTGGCCCCTGCAAGCCCCCTGCAGCTCCAGCACCCAAGCACGGGTGGAGCACAGTCCCCATGGTCCCTTCTCAGTTAAGCAGATTCCGGCAGTGCCTGCACCCCACCGGCACCATCCCGAGCTGGCTGCCCCACAGGATCCCTGTTGTGCCATCACTTCTGCCACACACCATCCCTCCTTCCCGCCCACGGTCCCATGCTGATGTTGGCCCTAGTCAAGGGGGTCCCAGAGGGTCTCAGCTGCCTCCCATCCCCCAAAACCAGCGGCACACCTCGGTGCCAGGACCCTATCACTGCTAGATGCGTGTGGCAGGGGAAGGAGGGTAGGAAGGGAGAGACGCAACCTGAGTGCTCACGGGAATCCGGGCGCCGTGGGAAGTGGCCGGCACAGGCTGTGGGAGAGATGGGGCAGGGGTTCAGGGGGAGCAGGGGCCAGACCCCCAGTCCTGAGGCAGCAGTGGGGGATACTCACCACAGTGCTGGCTCATCTCCTGCCTGACGAAGGCACGGATCTCCTCCTCCTGCCACGGATGCAGAGGAGCAAAGGACCCACATCACAATAGGGGACGAGTGCATTTAGAGAGAAGGAGAAACTCGTTTCCCAGGCCCATGTGCCAGAGCAGACCCCAGAGGTGGGGGAAGCCCCTCAGTCAGCGGCGAAGGAATGAATCCATCTCCCCATCCCACCTTGGTGACCCAAGAGCCGCGAGGCCATGCTGGCTCACTCCCAGCTTCTTACCGTCATGCCCGGCTCCCCCTTCTCCCCACGGAGCCCCTGGGTGCCGGGACTGCCCTAGGGACAAGCAGAGGGCAGGTGGGAGGCTGGGGCTGGGTGGGGCACCCAGGAACGGGCACCCGCTCACTCACCTGCTCTCCTCTCTCGCCGGGGATGCCAGGCACACCACGGGCCCCTGGCACCGACTGCCCAGGGGGGCCTCTCTCCCCCTGCAAAGGACACATGCTTGGGATCTGGCTGGTGGCTCTGGAGCCTCTCTGCTCTCCCCCGCACCATGTCCCCACACCCTGGGGACCTCTGAGCAGGTGGGGATGGGAACGGGGATGGGTCCAGAGCAGCCAGAGAACAAACAGGTCCCCAACCCCCAGGCTCCTATCCCCCTGGGCAGGGAGGCACAAGGAAGGCAGGAAAGCCAGCAAGCTGGCAGAATAGGGACAGCACTGCGACGTGGCTCCTATTGCCACCAAACCCTCATCCTCTTAAAGGATGGGGCCACTCATGGTGGGGACTCACCTTCTGCCCCTGTATGCCTTCGGGACCTCGTGGGCCAACGCTCCCTGGGGGCCCAGGGGGGCCAGGAGCACCGTCACTACCCCGGGGACCGGGGCTACCGATAATTCCCGGGGCACCCTGCAGGAGAGCAGATGGTGAGGCGAGGGGGTCTCAGAGCCCCTGACCCCAGAGCATGCACCATGGACATCCTCTGATCCCACAGCTGAGCATTCCCGAAGCACCAGCACCAATGCCTCCTTGTAAATAGTGGAGATTTGTTGTCACTTAGAGTTTAGCGACATAATTTAGAGCAGTGCCAGATAGCTCTTCTGGAAGCATTGAGTTCTGATGTGCTTCAGATCAAGGCTGGATCCTAATAAAAGCAATGTGATGCAACACAAACCATCCCCTTTCCAGCCTGCTCACCCGGTCTCCTTTCTCCCCCTGGTCTCCTTTGGCTCCTTGCTGCCCGTCAAATCCCCGGTCACCCTGTGAAGAAGGGACAGGCAGTGGGGGACGGGCAGCCCCCAGCAAGGGGGCCAAAGTGCCAGTACAGCTTTTCCCAGCACTGCCCTGACCTACCTTGGGTCCCATGAGCCCCTCCTTCCCAGGGATTCCTGGTGGTCCAGACAGACCCAGCTCTCCCTATGTGACAAACCAGATATCTGTCAGCCACTGGTTGCATGTCCCCATCCCTCCCTGGTGCCAGTGCGGTACTTACCGGCTCACCCTTCCGCCCTGGCATCCCCGAGCGTCCTGGGATTCCCGGCTCTCCCTACAGTGGGCAGGAGAGAAGCAGGACAGTCAGTCCTGCACCCCTCAATGCTCACACCCCAGAATCACGAGCAGAGGAAGGGGCCCCATGTCCCTGCTGTGGGGCTGAGCATTGGCCTCAGCCATCTCCCTGCTCCTGCCGGCTGGCGGAGGGGATCCAAAGGGCCATGGCCTCCAGGCACTGTCCGGGCTCCTGCAGCACCCCCAGGGTTCCCACTCACCTTCTCACCCTTGTCCCCATCAAGGCCGCAGGCACCTTTCATGCCCCGGTCACCCTGCAAGGATGAGGAGGCGAATCAGAGCCCTGCCAAGCCGGTGTGGGTCCTGGCTGGGAGAGCACAGGTGGGCAGAAGGACCAACCCACCTTGGGACCGCGCATGCCCAGGGGTCCCATGTCCCCCTTCTCTCCTCGGGCTCCAGGGATCCCATCACGGCCAGGCTGGCCCTGCAGAAGAGCACACAGTGTGACAGGGGTCCACTCCTGCCCCGTGGCAGGGTAGCAGTGGCACTGAGATACAGCTCCTCACCGGCTCACCAGGCTCTCCCGATGCTCCGACCTCTCCCTGGGGAAGGCAGAGGCATTGGTCAGGGCAGGCAGGGGGGACTGTATCTCAATGTCCCCCCCAGCAGCAAGGAGCGTCCAGTTCCTTACCTTTTGCCCGCTGGGGCCACGTGCCCCAGGGAAGCCTGTGGAGCCCTTCTCACCTTGTTCACCCCTTGTCCCCTGCAAGCAGAAACCCAGATCAATGCAGGGCAGGAATGAGATCTCTGGCCACAGCACAGCCACGGTGGCCTCTGAGGACAGCTATGGCACCTCCTCTTACCAGGGTGCCAAGTGCCATGCCAGGCTGCCCACAGACACTGGCACACGGGGCATAGGGATGCCACCATGCCCTGCTCCCTCTCTCCATCCTTTCTGCAGCCCTCTGGGGTCCCCAACCCAGCACCCTCCAGCCCTGCACAAGCCCCCTCAGCCCTGTACCTTCTCTCCAGGCATGCCTTGCTCTCCCTTGTCCCCTTTGTCCCCTTCTGTGCCCTTCAGGCCACGCTCTCCCTGGAAAAGGGGAAAACACAGAGAGAGGTCAGGGGATGAGGAGATGCTCAGATGCATGTTGGGATGGACAGAGCCCCTGGGGCATGGATGCAGGGGTCCATGGGGTGGCTGAATAAGAGGGGACAATGTGCTGTGAGGGAGCATCCATCAGTGCCAAGGAGCCCCACAGCTCTTCCGGCAGGCAGAGGTGTGAGGGGCTGTCCTGTGCCACTCAGGAAAGGGAATGCAGGATCAAACTCATATGTCTGGGAGCTGCCCTGGCCTGGAGCCCAGGGCTTTGGAGAGGGGGCCACACAGGAGAGACCCTGCCTGTCAGGAAAAGAAGGATGACACAGAGCGGGACAGGGAGAATGGAGACATCTCTTACCGGCTCCCCCTTGCTGCCCCGTGCTCCGGCGGGTCCCTCCACCACCACAGTATCGCCCTGCTCACCCAAAAAAATGGGGGAGGTAAGCAGGGGGGCAGTGTTGCTGCCCTCCCTCCCACTGCCCTCTGCCTGGGGGACTCACCTTGTCTCCCTTTGGTCCTGGGGCCCCGAGGTCTCCCTGAGAGAAAGGGGAGACAGTGAATCGCTGCAAGGATGTGTGGCGGGGAGCGGGCAGCACTTCCCTGGGGACCCCAACTCCTGGGGGTGCATTGTTCGCCCCCACCAGCTCTCCAGCCTGCAGGGTGCCTTACCTTGTCACCACGCTCCCCCCGGTTCCCAGGCAAGCCCTGCAGGAGAGGAGAGAGGAAAGGGGTGGTCAAGGAAGCGCTTGGCCAGGGGTGCACCCAGGGAGAGGGGTATTTACCGCCGGCCCACGATCGCCTTCTGGCCCCGGGTGCCCATCTTCACCCTGTGAGAAGAAAGGGACGTGAGAAGGGGGTCTGGGATAGGGTCACCCCCAGTGTCACCTCACCAGGCACAGCAGTGGCCCTCTGTACCCTTGGGCCTGGCACCATGGGATTTTCCTGTCCCTGGTGGTGGGGACACGGGGGCTGCAGTGGGGATGCAGGGGTCCATGGCCCCACCTACCCGTGGCCCTGGGTCTCCACGTTCACCTCTGGCTCCTGGCAGCCCGGGCCCCGGGGGACCCTGCCCGG